CCAGCAAGGCTTCGATAGAGAGTTGGATCCAAGATAGGAGTACCAGCAGGGGAAAGTTTGGATTTGGTGTCTGAATGGGTGTTGGTCGGGTTGCAGTTGGACATGTCAGCACGAGAGAGAATATCCCTAGCAAAGGAGGACTGAGAGAGAGAAACACGCCCGTAGAAGATCGAGTAGCAGAGATCCCGAGGAAAAAGGAGAGAGAACCTAAGTCAGACATTGGAAACTCAGAGGAAAGACGAGTGATGATACGAGAGATAAGAGCAGAAGAAGATGCAGTCAAAATAATATCATCAATATAAAGAAGAAGGTAGATCTAATCAGATCCTGAATGATAGGTGGAGAGTGAAGAGTCAGAGCGACTGCTGATAAAACTAAGGGAGGTGATAAAGATGAAAAAACGCAGGTACTAGGCTCGAGGAGCCTATTTAGGACCATAAAGTGCTTTCCTTAAGTGACACACGTGATGCAGAAGTGAATGATGAACATAGCCAGGTGGTTGCTTCATATAAACTTCCTCAAATAAGTCACCATGAAGGAAGGCATTTTTAACATCGAGTTGGTGAATAGGCCAGTGTTTTGAGACAATAATAGTGAGAACAGTACGGATGGTTGCAGGTTTGAAAATGGGGCTAAAAATTTCATCAAAGTCGAGACCAGGAAGTTGAGAGAAGCCTTGTGCAACAAGGCGACCTTTGTAGCGATCAAGATGACCTTTACTGTCAAACTTGTGATGATATAGCCAACGACAACCAACAATGTTAGCATGAGGGGGAGGAGGAACAAGATCCCAAGTGGGTTGGCCATGAGAGCAGACATCTCAGAGTCCATGGCAGATTTCCAGTTCGGGTCACAAAGGGCCTGGGCAGTGGACCGAGGTATGAGAGATATGTCGGAAGTAGCCAAGAGATTGAAGATTTGTTTAGGTCTGAGAGAACCAGTACGCGAACGAGTAACCATGGGGTGAGTAGGAGGAGGTTGAGAAGTGGAAGGGTGAGGGGTGGGGGGGGGAGGTATCACCAACTAAGCCACTACTACTAGGAGAGTCGGAGATGGACGGAGTCACAGAGGGTGATTCAGGGACAGACAGAGAGGGATCGGTGGCCGGAAGGTCTTCTTAGATGAAATGATCATAGTCAGATTCATCAGGCTTAGTGTGAAAATTCATCAAATATGACATGATGAGAGATAAGGATGCGTTGGGTGATGAGATCAAGGCAGCGATGACCACGATGATCGGGGGAGGGACAAAGATAAATACAGGCAGAAGAGCGAGGAGATAGTTTATGTTGGGACGTGGAGGAAAGATTTGGATAACAAAGACATCCAAAAACACGTAGATGATCATAAGTTGGAAAAGATCCAAAGAGGAGCTCGAAGGAAGTCTGGAAAAAGAGAGTGGAGGTGGGAAGAAGATTGACCGTATGAACAGCCGTGAAAAGGGCCTCGACCCATAATTTAGGACGAAGAGAGGCTTGGAACAAGAAAGTGCGTGCAATGTTGTTGATTGTGCAAATGGCGCGTTCAACTTTTCCATTTTGTTGCGACGTATAAGGGCAAGAGAAACACATTTTTAATGCCATTAGAGGAAAAGAAAGAGAGTAAAGATTGATTGTTAAATTCACGACCATTATTACACTGAAAAAGTTTGATGACAAATTGAAATTGAGTTTTGACATAAGCAAGAAATTTAGTAAGGACATCATACACATCAGATTTAGCGCGTAAAGGAAAACCCCATAAGAAATGTGTAAAATCATCCAGAAACAATATATAATTTTTGAAACCACTCATACTAGTTGTTGGAGATGTCCATAAATCTGAATGAACTAATTCAAACATATGAGAAGTCATAGTTGTGGAAGAAGAAAAAGGTAAGTGACAATGCTTCCCAAGCTGACAAGCATGACAAGTGGGAAGCTTATTATTACTACTAGTGATAAATTTACGAGAATGTAAAAAATTCAAAATGGAAGAGTCGGGATGTCTAAGACGATGATGCCAGGTAGGAAGAGAAACAACGAGACAACTTGTAGCTGGAGATGGGGTGGGAAGCGGAGGAAGAATAGGATAAAGATCACTAACACTGTCACATCGTAGAATAAAGGTACCTGTTTTAAAGTCCTTCACAGTGAAACCAAAAGGGTCAAATGTAACAAAAACAAAATTATCAGTAGTGAATTGACGAACAAAGATGAGGTTTTTAATAATTTTGTTTGAAACAAAAACATTATTTAAAGCCAGGCGATTGTGAGAATGCAGTAAAAAAGTGTAACCAATGTCATACACAGGTAGTACATCACCATTTCCAACCATTATAGATCTAGACCTACACGGTGTTAGAGAAAGCATGTTACATGAATTAAAGGACATGTGAGAGGTTGCCCCAGAGTCCATGTAGTAGTTGTTGTTAGAAGGAGGCTGAACAGGCACTGATTGAAACACCGAGGCTAGATCTGTATACTGTTGAGGAGTAGATTGAGCATGGTCACTAAAGGAAGGAGCTCCAGGAGTTTGGTTCAGCTGATAGGCATTTAGTTGCTGCTGAACAAATGGTTGCGGGGGCAGCTGATAGGGCTACTGCTGGAGGCCGGAACCAAGTACAGAAGCAGCAGTTGGATGGCCAAGAGGCTGCTGAAAACCATGAAGCTGCGAAGGGCAGCAAACTCGTGGGCGGGCCCTACGCAGGGTGATGTTGCTGCAAAGAGGGGCTGAAATGTTGGGTGTTTGGCAGACGTGGCTGAAGCAAAGTTGTGGAGCCAGCAAGACCGAAGGCAGCACCTTGTTGTGAGGCCGGAAAGTGTCTAAGAACACCTGCAAAGTTAGTATTATCACGAGAGTTATTGGGAGAGCTTTACTTCGAGTTGCTTTTTGCATTGTTACGGTTCTTTGTCCACCTATTTTTAGTTTTGCCCAAGTTATTGGAGGATGCATAAAGGGCGGAACTTTGAGACACCGAAGGATCAATAAGGTGATCGGATGCCGCCTCACGAGATTCATGTAATAAGAGCATATTTTTAGCTTCAAGAAACGAGGGAAAAGGCTTCATGTTTGTAATGACATCAACAATACTATGATATGAGGGCGGTAATTGCCTCAAAATTTACATAACTAGTTCAATGTCAGTTATAGTAAAGTCAACATCCTTAAGATCATCAGCAAGATTCTTAAGGGTGTGACCGAATTCAGTAATAGAACTGGAACCCTTCTTAGTATTGCGAAATTGATCTTGTAATTGCAACATACGTGACATCTTGTTGTTCCGTAAAAACTCATCCAACTTGTCCCAAAGATCTTTAGCGGTACAATCATCGCTAGAGATAATCTGCAACAAACTGGGATCACAGGTGCTATAGAACCATGATTTGATACGAGCATCAACGGAATACCACTCTTCATCATCTTCACTTGTGGGAAGAGATTTTCCATTTATGTGACCATAACTCAACGTACCCTAACACATATTGGAAAATATTTGACGCCAAAGTTTATATCTTGACCCATTAACATTAAGTTTGAAGCTAAATTGGTAGTACATATTTGTTAGAGTGCACACAAGACTTAATTTGGAGGGAGATGGGGTCGAAGATGAGGCTGGAATAGACATGGAACTTATACCTTAGGCAGCAAGGAAGAACCAAGATGGACTATTGCGTAGAGGGCAGGGACTGCCAAGGTGCAACAACCTGTCGACAGGAGGCAAAACAAGGGAGCCACAATCACACTGTAATCAACAAGAAGATCAGTAGCAACGTGTAGGAGACTTGAACATTGATTTAGTTTGACAGGGAAGAAGCAATGTAGCGGAGAAGAGCGTGATTTCCCAGAAGAAAAAAAAACGTTCACACGGTATGTAGGGAATGAAACCCTAGCTCTGATACCATGTTATTCAGATAAAAGTCTCCTTAACCAGAGACGTATGTATTGCATATATATATATATATATATATATATATATATATATATATATATATATATATATATATATTATATATATATATATATATATATAATATATATATATATATATATATGAAACAATATTACAAAGTTACATGAAGGCCCCTAAAGTATAGAAAATATACAAAACAGCTATAACTAACACTTATGATATTTTTAGAAGATAAATAGTTTCTGATGGTACTCAAACTAAATAAATTTTATTAATTTCATTGAGATTCTAAAATTTGGGGATCATTTGCTATTTTGTTGTATTATTGTGACTGTTTGGGTGACAAAAGGGGGCTGTTGTCGGGCTATATTGCAGCATGGTCAATTGTGGGTTTAATGCAATAAAAACCAATATACTTTCTCTTATTTATATATTAATCCAACATGAGGTATGTATGCACTACAAGTTCCTCTAATGATTCCCTAAGTATTTTATCATTCAACTTTACTTATGTGCTGCTCTTTTCATCTTTAAGATTAAAATTAGTGACAATGTATTATAAGAAATAAATTAATATACTTTTATTTAAATTAGGCATTAGTGTATATAAGATAAGCGTCGTTTCCTCTTTTAATTTGAAATTAACGGTGGCATTTATCTTTTCAAGTTATTTATTTAATCACTTTGTAAATATTGTATATCAGGTGGTCAAAAGTCAAAACAAAAGCCAAAGAAGCAACCAAGAATTAAAAAAATAAAATCTCATGTTGATATTTGGGGCTCAATATTTATAACGTTTTGTAGATTTTGTTTCCATCAACTCCATATTCTAATTTAGTTATGCTTAAATGAACTTTTAAATGTAATCGTACGATTATTGCAAATTAATGATAATGATTTTCTTAATGATATATAACCCAGTCAAGTCGAGCTCAAAAAGATCAATTATTCTATGAACTCCTGCTTGAAAATTAAGGCACAATGAAGCTTAAGTTTAGTTTCTTAATCAAGTTGAGTTTGAACATGACATTATATCGACACAACTATAGTTTTATTACACTGCGTCATTTGGGTGCTATTGCTTTGGAAGTTATAAGGGTTAGTGTTTTATGTTTTATTTTATATATATATAATATATATATATATATATATATATATATATATATATATATATATATATATATATATATATATATATATATATATATATATATATATATATACATATATATATATATATATATATATATATATATAATAACCTTTTTTTCTTTTTAACACAAAACAACATTGTATTTGTTTTTATCAAAAACAACAATATACTTTTTAATCTAAACAACAATATAGTTTTTTGTGACTGACAACAGAACTTAATTTTATTTTAATCCAACATAGTAATATACTTTATTTTTAATCCAATATGTTTTTTATTTATAACCAAAAACTAAATAATGTACTTTAAAGAAATCATTTTCTAAAAGACAATTACTCGCCCAAAAAAACTAACAAACATCCATCGAAAATTATTCGTATCTGTCGCTTAGTACGGGTAAATGACTACTATATATATATATATATATATATATATATATATATATATATATATATATATAATTTCTTTTAGAAATGAGATTCTAGAGGTTATTAATTTTGCACAAATAGTTTGTTATATTTGAACAAATATCCACACGATGCATCATTAATATCAACATGATCAATTTTACGTTTCCATGCTGACTTTTATGAATGTTTCTTACCTATGAATTTGATCACATATAATATGTATTCATTCGACAATATTTATTAGAGTTTGCCAATCGTAGTGACCTTATATATTTATTTACCAACAAATGCAACGATGTATAATTTTTATCAATACAACCGATAAAATTATCTTACAAAACAAATTGACGCCACCGCAACAAATGACAGGTAAAATCCTAGTTAATATTGATTCAAATATTTTTTCAAATTCTATTTTAAGTAATTAAATTAAGATTTATATTATTTTGTTACCAAACAAAAACATTGTTTTAAGTAACTTACAAAAGTTTAGCCTTCGAAAGACATTCTTAAATTGTATATCAAATTAGATTATGATTATTTCTAGAATAAACTGTATATAATTACATTTTAATATTCATAGTAATACAATGTTTTAAAAAAAAAAAAAAAAAAAAAAAAAGCGCAGCTCTTTGTGTTTTCCGTTTTAACTTACATTATTGTATCCAAATCTAATAATGGAAAGCCTTCTGAAACCAAATAACGCTTGTGTATTTGAAACCCACTTAAACAAAAACTACAATAAAAAAAAATACTATTATCCGACTAAATTAAAAATGAAATATTTCAAGTAGTAAACCTAAAAAAAATCAAACTTTCTGTCTCAATTATTTCCGTAAGTCACCTAAAAATCAATTGCTTCTATTATAACACCTGAAAAAGTAAGGTTCAAATAAGCACATTGTGGAATCGAATTAGAAAGAAGTAATTTTGTTAAAGATTATATACTTCTTTATCATCTTGACCTATCAAAAATATTTAAAAACAAAAAAATGATCAGATTCATTTTTTTTTCTCACACTCAAGTTATAATTGGTGTGCTTATGTGTGGCTACTAATAGCAATATACATTTATACAATTATTTACCAATAATAACAATATACTTGCTATGTTTTACCAAAAAAAGGCAATACGTAAGAACTAATAGCAATGTATTTACAATGTATATATACATGACCAGTGATCCAGAGATGGATCATGTGCTATTAGCAACAACACTAATATCAATATACTTACAAAGTAATAGCAATATACTTACAATCCACTTATACGGAACCGCTATTTTTAATCCAAAAACAATTTTATTACCGGATTTTCTAAAAAACCCAAACCAAACCAATTTTTAAACCTAGAAAAATGATTTTTAACAAAATTTCACTTACATTAATCAATAATTGTAAAGTAACCCTATATCATCATATGTAATTGGTTGTGGTGCATCACCAACTTCCTTGTTTTTTAAGATTTCAACATTCTAGATGCAAGGAAATGGATACTTGCATATGATAAATAATGTTCTTATACATATGTTATGTTTGTAGGCTATGTCTTTGAAACTGGTTCAAATAAAGGGCCAACAATCAACAAACCAAAATTAATAGAGGATAATACTTAGCTTGATAGAAGAAACTGAAATGGATTAGTAATGATATGAGGATGGCTTTAGTCAATACTTAGCTTGCTAGAAAGAAATTATCAAAAATCCTGCAAGAAAAAAAATATAAATTAAATAAAATGTATCTATTTTTTTAGATGTTCAAAAATCCTCTTATATCACAGTTTAATGTCATACATCTCCCCCATCCATCTAATACCTCTATGGTGCCTTTGCCAATCGCTCATTATATGGTTTGTCTTCAATGTATTAAGCTACACATATCATAAACTTTTCATAGTTCAAAGAGACTATTATATTTAACAATGAAGAGAAAGTAGTTAGTAGTTACATTTATTAAATAATTAATCACCTATTATGAAAAAAATTATGTTGAAAAGAACTTAAACTGTAAGCCACCAATCTGGCTTCTTTTACAGCATCCATTAATTTATCAAATTTGACACCTTTCCTTTAACAAAATCACCCCCTTATTTTACACCCTTATTTCTGAGTGTTAATAAAAAAAACAAAAAATTAAGTGGAAGAAAGTTCTTATATTTGGAACTTAAAGAAGGACCAGAGATACTAAATTGAATTGACAAATCATAACCAACCTGGAAAGAAATGATAGAAATTGAAAGATTACTTAATAGATTGCAAAGAACTTAAACTCTAAGCCACCAATAGTCCAAATATATTAAGAAGAACAATAAGTACACCCATCATAATAAAAAACAACAAACAACAACTCCATCAAAAAATATCTAACACACTCCAGGGGACCACCACCACCGAGTATTAGCAAACATCGCACCAGCAAGGAGGAAATACATACATACCCTTTATGTTTTTCAAACCAAATCCGATGAAACGACTTCCACTTCCTTTCCCTTGTGTCTTCATATACTAGGAATAAAATAGAATCAACAAAAAAGAACAAAATCATTTATTCATGTTCTTTCTTGAAGTAACCTATAGCCATTTTAGTTTCAAAAACTAAAGAATCAAAAACAAAAACCTTGAATTTATATGTTTTAATCAAAATAAATATGAATTAGTTTAGGTAGACAAAAATAATAACCTTCATCTTATCATCTTCGATCAACAACAACGGCCAAGCGGTTTTTTTGAATGATATAGTTGCATTGGAGAGAGAATCATTTCCAGGGGTAGATTGTCATGCCTAGGGATCAATAAATTGCAAAACATGACTGTAAGTATCGTGGTAAATGGATTTGGTGGTGAAACGTACCTACAATCGAAGATTCCAGGTCAAAATTGACACGAAAAATGGTTTAAATAACAAAATGGATGATGAGATAAAGGAATAAACATGACTGGCTTTAAAGAGAATGAGAGAAGAAGAAAAGAATGAAGCATTTGCAAGTGGTGATCGGAGATGATGACCGAAAACCACAGATAGCGAATCTGAATAAAGCTACAATACAAGTTTTATAGGTGTGTGAAAGTTTGCTTCAAATAGCTGCCTTTGTTAAGAAAAGTCATGGTTGTGGCGGCTTAGGGTTTGTAAAGAGGAAGACGATGATAGACGGCATCTATGGTGGTGTTCAATGACAGTGAGACTGATGACGGTGGTAAGGGAGAAGCGGTTGGATTCTGCATAAATGCAAATGACCTAGGGTTTTGCAGAGGGTTTGAAATATTTGTGTCGTAAATTGGGGGTGTTTTGAAACCTAAGTTTAAAGAGCATTTATAATTCTATATGGGGGTTACATCCGTAAAACAACCGTAATTATATAGATTCATTTAGAAGCATAATAGGATTGTACATTGTTTAATAGAAATTGTACCTCTTAAATTTCAAGAAATATCCAATATGCTTAATAATATAGTAAATATATATATATATATATATATATATATATATATATATATATATATATATATATATATATATATAGAGAGAGAGAGAGAGAGAGAGAGCTAAGTTCAATTGTAGATTAACATATATTGTGCAGACCTGTGGGCAGTGTTATTCAGTGAGAATAACAAAGAAAATATGTTATTAGATAATGTGAATATATTTAATCTTACATAACTATTGTTATTATCATGCACTATCAGGGGCGGAACACAAGCAATAGAAGAAGGGGGGCCAAATCCATATATATATATATATATATATATATATATATATATATATATATATATATATATATATATATATATATGTTACTATGAATCAATAGTTCATTACATATAACTATAATAATATAAATAATAAAAAGAAGGCAATTAAATTACACTTGAATAAAATGTTACCCTTCTAATAAAAGTTGGTACTGAAAACAAATTAGATAATGAAATACAAATGAAAAAGTGAAGTAAAAAATAAAAAGGTATAACAAAAAACAGATGAAGTCAATTGATTTGAGTTGTCGATGCACTTTGATAGACTTAGATCTAGACATGAGTAAATTTACCATTTCTAAATATGACATTACAGTAACTTTAATATATATAAAAAATATAATAAACATATAAGAGAAGTAATGGAAGGTCTAAAGCCTAAGGTCATACCAACTCTAATCTGACATTTGCATTAACTTTAATTTGAAATTGGCGTATTCGTCAAAACATAGCCATACTAAAGAAAATAAATATAAATAACACAAATCTAATCCTCAAAAGCAAAAAAGAATATAACCACTAACGGAGAAGAAGAATGCATACAGTCCCAACAACGGTGGTTGGGTGAAGCAAGGCGATAGAATAGGGCAAGGTCACTACTCTCCGGCTGCTAGCATCACTTCTGATGTGGAAGAGAATGTCTCTCTTCTTCCTTGTATCTCGCTTAGTTTACTTTTAAATTTTTGAAGATATTTCCTTCACTTATTGATCATTCGACAATAATGTTATCTTTATCTAATTTTTGCAACTTCTCTCCTCCTACTTTTCTTCCTATTTTATCTCTTTAATTGTAACTTATTGTTGTTTATGATTTTATTTTTTTTTGATATTTATGAGGGAGAATATATTTCTATTCTTAGATTAATGATTTTAAATTTAATCCACTAAGTTGAGGGGCCAACTGTAGTCTTTACCTAAAAATCATGAAGACCAATATTATAACAACTAATTTATTTATTTTTTTGGTATTAGATCGCAAAAAAACAGGGGGGCCAAGGCCCCTCCTAGCCCCTAAAGGGATCCGCCCCTGTGCACTATACCAATTAAATCGTCTATAAGGTTATTATGGACTTTTTTTATTATTCTTATTTTATTATAATGTTGTTTGAGTCGTATTTTGTAAGAATAAAAATAAATGAAAAACGATGTGTGAGAATAAAAATAAATAAGAATCAGTGAAAATATATGGTAATGATAATAATTGTATGATGTTGAATATATTGATATTACTAAATAACTTATTATTTTACTAATTCTTATAGAATAACATCGGGCACACGTCTGCACAATAGTTGTTCATCGACATTATATATATATATATATATATATATATATATATATATATATATATATATATATATATATATATATATATATATATATCCTAGCTTATCGACCACTCATGTTTAGACAGCAAAAACTATAATAATATTATCTAGTCATCTACTTTTGATTTAAAAATTATACATGATACAATTTAAGGAAAACAATCATTTCAATATAGATTATAAAAGCTGATATGGTTATTATTATATTACAAATAATTATGTATTGATGGTGGACACAATGATATTAGATAAATTTTGTAAACGTTGAGAAACACTACTATATATGAGCGTTATAGCGACCGGATTAATAGAAGTTTTGAGTTCAAAACCAAACACACTTTTTTGATTGTTGGTTTGAGTTCAATGAATGATATAAAAAAAAATATGGATTCAAAGTTATAAGAAAAAAATATGGATTCAAAGTTTTTTTTATTTTAACGGCAAAGTTAACTATTCTTTTAAATTCTAACGATATTTGAACTCTCAACCTTAACGAAGGATGACAATACCGGATCCCGTTAGACTAGAAGTTGAAAAGGTAAAGAAACTTCGATCAAGAGATTATAACTATAGTCTTTAGGCCTTTCTTTTAGATTTACGATACTACTCTTTTTTTTTCCCTCATTGGTAGTTGAATAAAATCTCTGTCGTCGTCATCGATATAGAAGAAAAAAAAAAAAAAAAAAAAATCTCTAGCCAACAAAGGGCCAAAATGTTAATTGCCACGACCATCCTATCAACAAATCATGCATCTGATGAGTTTATCTTGTTCACAAGTTATTATAGTTTATAAAAAAACTTACTTTTCATATGCTTCAAGTAGGTTAATTGTTTTTTGAATGGAAAGGGAATACGTGAATTATATAAACAAAACCTCAAGCACCTAAGGTGTCACTTTATAGCTGCCACTAGCATAAAAGATTCCCTTACATTCATAATCAATGTCCAAAACACATTCAAATTATGGCACAAATGAATTACCCATCATTACAACCGAAATATCGGAAGAAAACCAGCAGTTTAAATTCGCTACATTACTTCAGCTTCGTTATCCTCCTGGTTTTTTCCGAAAGGTAAGTTACCATTTCTATAATATTTGATTTTGATATCAACTATGTTATAGGAATGAGATTTAAAACCAAAAAAACAGAACCGGAATATGAAGAAAGCTCAGTCCGGTTCTAGGTTTAAAGAATGGATTTGGTCGGGTTTCGGGTAATTTGGGTTTGGGTCCTTCAGATTCGGGTAAACCAGGTTTAAGAACCGGGATCGGTGATGAGGGTCGAAACTAATTTTTGTGACAAGTTTAGATAATACATATCTCATTCGTTTGATGTTTGATTGATATGCGGTTTTTTTCAGTGTGTTGTTTAAAGTTTATAGATGATTTTAGAGTATAATTGTATAATTTTTCGTTTCATATTCATTGATTTATCGTCCCCCAAAGTTGAGATATCAAACCTAGAAATTTTAAGTTTTTCAACTTTTTTTGTATTATGTGAAATTTTAAAACATCCATATCTAATTAATTTGAAATCATATTAGCATGCAGTTTTAGTGTAGAGTTTGTAAAAAAATTTAGACTATAATTTTGTAATTTTTGGTTTTTTATTTGTTGATGTATAGTCCTTTAAAGTCGGGATATTAAAGCTTGAAATTTCAGTTTTTCAGTTTTTGGTATTTTGTGAAAACTTTAAAACGTGCATTTCTACTTCCTTTGAAGTCGGATAACCAAGTAGTTTTTTTTCTAATGTGTAGTTTAGAGTTTGTACTTGATTTTAAATTATAATTTTGTTATTTTTGGTTTCATATTCATTGATTTACAGTCTTTTAAAGTCGGGATATTAAAGTTATAAATTTTCATTTTTTTTGTATTATGTGAAAATTTTAGAACATTCATATCTAATTCGTTTGAAATCGGAGTAGAATGCGGTTTTTGGTTTAATATTAAATGACTTAAAGTTCCCCGAAGTCGAGATATCAAAAAAAAAATTAATGTTCAACCCACTAATTAATTACCAAAAAATTCTGATTTCCCGAGTTTTCGTTCTGGATCCACTTTACACAGTTTCCCGCTCAATCCACTTTGACATTTCGTGGTTTTGCAGTTTTAGACCCACTTTACTTAGTATCTTACCCGAAACCGAACCGAAATCAATTCCTATATACCGTTTCGGTTTCCGGTCCTACAAAATCTCGTTAACCGGTCTCCAAGTTTTTATGGGTTCGATTCTATCTGTATTGGGTTTAGACTCACTTTCATCCCAATCTACACGGCATCACATGATAACCGTCATGTTGTTAACAAGATGAGAATCGATAAGAGATATCTCATGTTCAAAATTTTGAATTACCTTTCTTACTTTGAGGACATTGTGATTTACATATGTAATACCTTTTTTTTATCATCTTCAAGATGTTTTGAAATTGTTTTTCAGGTGGTGGCAGAGGCGGTTGCCACCTTCTTGTTGGTGTTTGTGACATGTGGATCGGCGGCACTTGCCACAAGCAATGAACACAAGGTGTCTCAACTTGGAGCCTCGCTTGCGGGTGGTCTCATTGTGACGGTTATGATTTATGCAGTTGGACATATTTCGGGTGCACACATGAACCCTGCGGTCACACTAGCGTTTGCATCTGTGAGACATTTTCCTTGGAATCAGGTACGTGGCTAGACCTAGACCATCAATAACATAATGGATCATGTTTATTTAGACCATAAATCTCAATAGGCTCGAACCATATGTGGTTAATGTGATTATGTGATAATGAT